AAAAATAAAAAAATCAAATGAAATTTATTAAAAAATGAGCAAAGAAAGCATTTGATTAGTAAACGTCAAAGAAGGTGTAGTCTACTATAATTTTGATTTGTAAACAAGATGAATACTCACTTTTAGGAAAATTAAAATTATATACCTTCAATATATAAAAATTACTTAAAATTTATGTTATTATTCAATATTTAAATCATAGCTTCAAATAAAATCATTATTACAATATATATAAACCTATAAGCTAATTTGTTTTAAAAAATTAGCATACCAAATTCAAGTTTTTTGTATGTTATAGCCCTTAAGTTGAGGAAAAATAATGCACATGGTACAAATCTTCAATAACCAATTTGTATTATGATAGCGTTGACCAAAAAAAGTAATATTGTGATAATCATGTTAAATCGGTTAATGTATGACTTGAGTACTCATTGTATTCAATATTAATAAATTTTTTTTTGTCTTTTTCCCTTCAAAAAAAAGAATGATGGTAATGTGAAATAATCAAAGATATTCTAAAAAGATAAAAGCTATGCTTTTTTTTTTTTTAATTTTTTGTTCATAATAGAAAAAATCATAAACTCACCCCATTTATATGTCATGTGATTTGAATTTAAAATATCTTATTTTTATTGAAAGAATATTACAAATAAAAGCTATATTATTTGTAAATAAGTAGTGATTTTTTATACTAGAAAATAAAGTTTATCATTATCTCATAACTAAATACACACATACATTTAAAATAATTATCAAAGAAATAGAAATTTTTTTCTTTTCATTAAATATCATCTAAAGAAAAATGAAAAGTAAAACATAAAATATAAAGAAATTTCAACATGATTTTATAGAGACACAATATTAACTATTAAAGAATATTTGAATGAAATTAAGTGAAAATTAATTGATATATTTTAATAATTTCTTAAATAAATATCTAATTTTTCTAAAATAAATAATGATAAATGAAACCAAAATTTAAGATAACTCATGTCATTTAAAATATTCAAAAGTGGATCTTATATTATTTAATAATTGACTTTTTTTTTTGTTTCTTTAAAACTTATAGATTAATTAATTTAATGACATGGCATAAACTACATTATTAGTTTTAAATTTTGTCTTCTCTATCATTACTTTTCGAAGATTTATGATACTATTTTTTTTACTGTAGAAAGCATGATTAGTAAATTAGTATTTATTTAAGAATCAATCAAAAAATTAACCTGATGATTATGAGTTACGCTTCACTCTACTTTTTATACGAAAAGATGTGATTACTTACACTATGTGAGGGAGTGCAAGATTTATGATCCTACTTATATTTTAAAAAGTACAAAGACCCATTTAACAAAATTTTAAAAGACCATTGGGGGCCATAGCCGCTTTGGTCTCCAAGTGGCTATACCACAACACTTCACATTAATATCAAGTTTTTATGTGCACATATCTAAAAATTTCACTATATTATGTGCAATTTTAAAATATAAATTTACATTTACTTCAAACTACAAAGAACTAAATTGCAATTAAAAAAAAAAACTTAAAATAAACCCCAAAAACAAAAATACCATTTTAAGAAACAAACTCTCTAAAAATTAAAAAAAAGAAAGAAATTTTTTCAAAAAGAATATGAAAAAAGAAAAAAATCAGAAACGTTTTAATCTTTAAAAATGTTAGGATTATTTATGAAATTATTCAAAAACCTTTAATGAATTTTTCTCTCATCTTTATTTGTTAAAGGCATTTATAGTTTTTAATTGGTAATCTTGGCATTTTAATTGTTAAATAAAAGTAGGTGGAAAAATTTGCAAAAAAATTTGAAATAGACCGAAATTAAAACTGACAGATAGAGTTTGATTGGGTTTTAGGTTTATTTAATTACAAATCAAACCAAATAAATTTTAAATGATTTGAGTTTTGATTGTTAAATTTAAAAATTAAAAAACCAATAATTAAAGTGAGTATATTAAAAATTTCAGCTAAAAAATATTTTCATATAAAATCTTAATAATTTTTAAAATTTTAAAAGTTTTTAATTATATTTTACTAAATTATTTATTTATTTAAGTAATTTTTAATTTTTATGATTAAAACTAATAAAATAATAATTAATAATTATAATTTATTAAAAAATACAAAAATAATTTTTTATTAAAATTAAAATCAATATAAATAATTATTTAAAAAATGTAATCAAAACCAATAAAGCCCTTTTTTTTCGTGGGCTTGGTTTATAGTTATTAAAACTAAATACCCCTTTTTTTGGGTTAACCGGTAGTTCGTGCCCACACCATCCAGAAAGTCCAAATTTTCCTCCATATATATATATATATATATATAAAATATTTTAGTGGCGGTTACCTAAAACGAGTTCTATGGAGTTTCTGAGGGGAAGGAGAAAGAGGAAGATGGCGAAGGTGTTCTTTCTGACCTTCATTCTCTTTCTCTTCATTTCTCAGTCCGTCGGAGCGCTACCCGGAAATTATTCAGATTTTCCGCCCCCATCACGGGCCGTCTCTCTCTGCGCCCAACTTCTCGAGCCCAACGGCTACCCTTGCACCGAACACACTGTAGTTTCTATATCTCTGTCTTCAATCTCTTGCACTTACTTCTTTTTATTTCCGGTTTCCTTTTGTTTCCTGAGAAAATGAAGGATACGGAGAAAAAGAATCAGAAAAAAGAGCTTGTTTCTCGAGTAGTTGAGCGAGCTAACAGCAATGGATCTAATCAACTAGGTTTCTTAATTCTTACTTTCTTGGAATAAATTTTGAGAAATTGGGTTTTCAATTTTATTTTCTCTGTTTTCTAGACATTCCTTCCTTGTTAATTGAGTAAAAAACAGTATTTGTTAGCTTTTCAACGTGTCACTTTTCTGGGATTGTAATCCAAAATGCAGTTTCTTGAATAAATTTGGGAAAATTCAAATTGTCTTGTGAAATGAGTGGTGAAACTGTGAAATAGATATTAAAATTTTTGGTTGTTTTATGATTTTTAAGGGCTTCTAGTTGTATTTTGATGAACTGTTGTTTGGTGATTTACATTATGTTTTGGTCTCTGCTTAATTTTTTAATTCTAGGTCCAAACGAAAGACGGCTTCTTACTAGGCCTTCAACGTGTATCATCGCGTTCTGGGAATCTCAAACTTGGTCAGAGCCATCCTGTCTTGCTTCAACATGGATTATTCATGGTGAGAGCTTACTTCACAATGAATTCTTACTGCTACTCCTACATTCATTAGTGTTTTAGAGAAGGGAGGCTGATAAAACTAAATTGTATTATGATATTATCTGTTATACTGTTACTGTAATCAGAATCATAGAATAACATACTAGAATGGAAGTGCACTGAAGGACTTGCAGATACCAATGTCAAGATATCTTGAGCTGTGGTTATGTTTGTTCTCTCCAGTATCTAATTAGTAATTACTGATATGTTTTTTACCCATGAATAAAAATAAATGAAATAATAAAACAATTCAGTTGTATGATAAAGTTTTGGATGCAAGGATACGATGCCATTTTAGTAGTCTTACAATACAATCTCCTTGGTAGATGTTCTAGGCTGTGCATAGCCAAAGTGCTTG